GTAACATCAAAACACAAACTTCTGCACTTGCCACACTCAAGCCTTTCTTAAAAGGAGATAGTTGGTTGAAATGGTGATTAGACTGAGGTAAATACTGTCAAGTTCGAAATGCTGATTCAAATTTGCTTTTCAGTTCCTCTGGAGTAAATCATGGACTTCTCTAACAGAAATGCCTTAGAAGTTCCGAATAATGCTTAAAAGTTCAACTGTAACCCAAATAGCAGCTTAAGAGAATTATTGAGGAAACATGTAACACCCTCTGCTAGTTATAGACTGAACTTTAAATTGTAATGCAAATATTGACGAGCCCCACAGACTAGTTTGCACTGAATCATGACTTTCTTAGAAACACTTGGCAGAAACGCAAGGCAGATTTGAAATCAGTCTTTAAATGCGCCTATCGATGTGCATCCCTTTTTGAACCGCCATTTCAACCGAGCATATTTCCCAGTAAACGCATTGCTCCATATTGTCGCAACCTGGAAACTCAGCGCGGCTCATCATACTGATGAGGCTATCTTCGTTTAACCTCTTACGAGAGGTTTAGGCAAAGCTTTGGAGCCGCAGAATGTTAAAACCTTTAAAGCTGACTTTTTAGAGGTGGTCTGGGTTATGTGCCATTTTGTCAACCGCTACTCATTATATTACGACCATATTGTTAAGAAGCTGCGTAAGCCTCAGATGTGTACAATTTCATGGTAGTCGGTTTTAGAGCAACCTAACCTAAAGACTGCTTCTGTTTTTGAAAGAACTGAAAAAACGAGGTCAAACAAAACGTTTTGGAATTTGATGTAGTACCCTCGAAACAAATCATAGGCCAGTTTTAGTAGAAGTGTTTAAAAAAAAGATCTGGTTGTAATGAAAGAAATTATTGCGTTTTTAAAATTTTTCTGATGTTCCTGTTGTAATTAGAATTGGAAACTGTTCTTGCGAATAAGACATTTTATTCCGTTCTTAAATATACATCCAATATAGATAGAAAGCACTTTTTTTCAAAAGAGGTCACAAGCATGACCAGGGTTATGTGGCCGACATGTGTAGGTATGTGTCACTTATATCTTTTGCGACCAAGTAAGAATTGAAATGAGAAATTAAATCTGACAAC